TCCTCACTTTCGGTATTCCGTGGAGGTAAACTTCGACGGATTGAATATTTTACATTGGAATACAACGGGGAACAGTCCGACAATTCCGATGTTGTTGACTACGATGTTCTCACCGATTCCTATGCTGAAGTTTTGTTTCTCCTATCTTCTTGCTTTGCTCACGAAGCAGCAGTACGAGAACTCATCCCCAAAGGAAGATTTGGAGGAGGGGTAGGAGGAGGAGGACGACAACAACGACGACGACGAGGAAGAGTAGAAGACAAGTACTTTCGATTCGTTCGAAGTCAGAGCTTAGAATGCAGCAGAAGAGCCGTTTGTCAACAGCTGGGATCGTCGTTATTCGACATTCGACCAACGATCTTCTCGCGTGCATCTGCAAACAGATCCTACCAAAGGTTTTTCCTTTTGGAATCGTGTCACAAAACTCGCGCGATAAAATATTATCTTTTGTCGATCCAAAATAACGCCTTCACCGAAGATAAGAAGATTAAAATCACTAACAATATTAGATATATTATCCCATATAAAAGAAACTTGAGTATTATAGAAGATTTCATCTTTTTTCCTGTTGATCAAATTTTCTTTCTTATCAGTGGAAAAAGGAAGTTAATGGAAAATACGAAGGACTACGAAGAGTCGTATATCTTTTCTTAACGTGTCTTCTTTTCTTTTTATCTGTTTTTCTCTCTCTTTCTCTCTCTTTCTCTCTCTTTCTCTCTCTTTCTCTTTCTCTCTTTCTCTTTGTCTTTATCTTTCTTTTCTTTCGAAAGAAAGGGAGAAAGACAGAAGTTTCTCGGTGAGCTTTCAGAAAATCCACTCCTACATTATGGAACTTGTTTGTATGTATGTAATACCTAGAAACGAGTAGAATATCGCGTAAAAGGTATCCGACGTTATGACTTCCCGCGGATACTTGTGCGATGATATCATTATCATAATCATTACAATGTATTTCTTTCTTTCTTTCTCTCTCTCTCTCTCTCTATCTTTCTCTCTTTATTTCTTTCTTTTTACTTTGGATTAGGAAGAAAAACCGAGTTATTATTACGGAACTTGTTACCATTCCTTTCTATTTAAATTGGAAACGTAAAATATTTGTTCTAATAAAAGCATCGGAGAGACTAGAGAGAGAGAGAGAGAGAGAGAGAGAGAGAGAGAGAGAGAGAGAGAGAGAGAAAAGGACAAAAAATAAGAAATAAAAAGAGGTAAAAGAAACAGAAGAAAAAGAAGAAGAAAAGAAAAGGATGATAAGTGGAAAAAAAACATGTGTCGTAACAGTTACGCATCACTCACGTGGATTAACTTTTGCTAAAGTGAAATAAACTATAGTACAATAAGCGGGGTCTACTTTCTTACAAGAACGTATACAACACACTACAGTGTAACTTAGTGAAAGTAGTGTAATCAAATAGTTGGAACTTTACGATTTGCGTGTGGGATATTTGTGGCTTACCGTGTACAAACGTGTCCGGCAAAACGCAACGTTTGAACGGAATTTCTCCAGGTCTCGAGAGAGTAGGAATCCGAAAATACTGTCAACGATTTCATATTAGATCTTTCGTACAAATTTCCCTCGATTTTTTTAAATGTTTTAATATTTTTCCTTTTAAATATTTGTATATATGTATATAAAATATTTCATTACTTTTAAATTACAAAGTTAATAATTCAATTGAGATTGAAAAATAAGTACATAGAGTATTTCAATAACACGAAATAAAACTCAATCGATGATACGGCAAGTAATATAATTGAAAAAAAAGAATCAAATTATTTCCTACTACATATTTTCAAATATTAATAAATATTCATTTAATTCGAAACAATACGGTGTAAATTGAATTAAAAACAAAGAAAAAAAAACAGAAAGAGAGTATAAAAATTATTTCCATAGCAAAAACCAGAGCGCGAAAAAATTCATTATTCATTTATCACTGTCAAAGAATTTAACGAAATATTATTAGTATTATAGCGCGTGCTTTTGAAACGTTGAAAGATTTGGTAACCCACGTCGTATAGTTTTGCTAGGTGCTCTTGTACGCGTGATTTTCTCGCTATTAATATCAGATACTTACAAGGGGTTGGTACATATATATATATGAACGTGCGGTTTAGGGACGGTCCAGACAGTGGAGGATAGAACGACAGAGAGAAAGAGAAAGAGAGAGAGAGAAAGAGAGAGAGAGAAGAGGGTTGCCAAGAAGAGGTTCGCGGCGTTTGCGGTCCGTGGCACCATTGTTCGAGTTCTCCTGTTTCCCCTTTTACCCCCGTTCTCTTTCTTGGTTTTCCTCCGCGTGACTTTAAACCCACCAAAACTGTTCCCTCCAATATTCCTTTCCAGCAAAAATATCACGTACTTACACGCTACCATTACTGTGACGTGCTTCTTTGCAAAAATGAAAAAAGAAATGAAAAGAAAAAGATTAGAAACGAAAAAAAGAAATAATAAAAAAAAATAAAAAGAACAATTTGCCACTACTCGTGAATTTACCAAACAAGAAATCGCGTGATCATCTTCAATGAATTATTATTATTCTGGATAGGTAACAACAAAATGAGAATTATTGTCCATTCGTTCGTGGTTAAATTCAATTTTAAAATGAAATACATTTCGGAATAGATTTTTTTTTAAATACGATTTTGTTGAAGCTCTCATATCAAAAGATAAAGGTTAGAACAGAGAATGGTTTGTGTTTAGGCCCTTTTGGAAACCTCAAGAATGACAATCCTGTGGTGAAAAATGAGCCTTTTCAGGAGTTCAACATAGGAGAAATCTTTCGCTTCAATGACGAGACTTTGCCAGGGTTCTTCCCTTTTGTTCCCCTCTCTTCTATGGTATATCCTATCACACTACTACATATAGAATTGTACATAGTAAATGTAATGTAACATCCAATGAAAAATGCCTATGAGTTTGTATGTATTTGTAAATTCTCCTTTGCACGAGTATGTGCATCCATTTCATTTAATGGAAAGGACAGCAGGGCAGGAGAGTGGAAGTTCAGCAAGTGAAAAGGGGGATTAATCCTCTCAGTCAGTAAGAGAGAAGAGGACTTACGCTTTTCAATCTTCTTTTTTTACCTTCTACGAGATGTATTCTTCCATAGCTCATTTCGTTTCGTTTCGTTGGATGATATCCATAGATATGCATATCATCATCGTATCTTCTCGATTCAAATATTTGTGTTACGTACTGTTCAAATATAAGAAGAATCTAACCATGAAATATTAACGTTTAATAACGTCAGCATTTGTCCTAAATGAGTGAACGTATAAACATGGTTAGACGAATGAACGATCAAATAATTTTAAGTTCCATGGAATGATTAATTAATAAGCTATTACCAGATTAGAAATATTTCCAAATATTTATATTAATTTTATTATATTATTTTTTACATTAGTCTTTTTTTTTTCATTTCTCTATTGATCAGTTTCATATTATATTTGTAATTCGGAGTATGCCTTTTATTGAATTCTTCTATTTCTTTCTTTTTCCGTTTTTCCTTAGTTTTACAATATTTTTTGTTAAAACTCTTTTCTCCGTAAGGTAATTTAATTCTTTCTCAATTTTTTTTTCTTGTTTCCATTTTTGAGAACACCTATCTACCTTCCTTTTGTTGTCTTCTGTGCATGTCTTGTCTCATCCTAAACTTTATATCCTTTTTTTTTTATTTCTATTTTTCTATTTTATTCTCTTCATTTTTTATTACATTTCTGATTTTGGTTTTTAAAATTTCTCGTTTTACAATTTTTGCCTTATCCTTTAGCCTATTCGAGTACCGTGCTTTTTGAAAATCTCTTTAAATTGTGTTAATTTGTAAAATGTGTTATAAATTAATTCGCTTCGACATATTTTATTATTGAGTTTTTTATATTTTTTATAGATTTATCTTAAAAAATTTACGGAAACAATACGATAGTGGAGAGTCTTCCTAACCACGTATCGCCATTGATTCTTTAAGTATCTTTTGTAAGAAAACAATAGTCCGTTTGCTTAGCTGTTTTCCATCGTAAATACGCTTACTATTGTTCGATATTTTGCAATCTCTTTTTTTCTTTCTCTTTCAAACCTTTTTAATATTTATTTTACCTAAGGCTTGGTTTTTATCTCTCTCTTTCTTTCTCTGTCTTATTTTTTTTCTTTATTATTATATTTTATTTTTACTTTACTCTTTTTCGTACTTTTAGATATTGCGATTCTTTCGTCTTCATTGATCATGTTCGTTCTCTCTTTTTCTTCGAAATATTTTCAAAAGCACTTCCTTTTTCTTTACCCTATGTAACTGAAAAGAAATAAGTGAATTGGTCGGAGAATTTTATACGAATCCATAATATCGAACTATTCTATTTGAAAAAATTGTCCTTTCGTTTTATCTTGAAATTCCATTGATCTTTCTTTTCAAGAAGAAAATTGTACGCTCGATCATGGTACGAAATCCCAACATTCTCTATTTGATAATTATATACGGTAGAGAATATACAATATTAGAAGTTACCAAAGTATATATGTATCTCGTGAAATACAGTTGGATCAGTCAACGAGTGAAGATTTCGAATTCGTTAAAAGAAAAAAATGAGTGAATAAAGTTACAATCAGTAAAATATATATATAAAGCGTTAAATTGTATAATATTGTTAGATTCAGTAAAAATATAATAATTAAGAAAACAAATTATTTGCATGACGACAATTTATTTGCACAAGTATTTATAACTAATTATAAATAATAATTATTATTATGTCAAGAACATGGAAAACGATATTCATGAAGATCTTGGCTTTATCAAGAATTTTGCAAGAATAATTGTCTATATTAATCGTTATGACAATTATTAAAATATTTTTTAGTAATTTATAAAAAATACTAGGGTTGCCCCGTCACATGTTGCTGTGGCTCACAATTAGTTCCGATACACACGTCTTTAAGTCAACGAATTAAAGACCCTGTAGGAGGGACGCGCAATACATATTGCTGGAGTGCCATTGGCTGAAAATTTTGGGGGACCGCTTCCGATGCCACGCGCAGCCATGTCTATCTGTAGTATGCAGTGATCCCATTCGTACGATAATTATCGTACGTGTATTTTTTTTTTTTTAGTCAACAAATTTTCCAAAGGTGCACCCCCACCCCAACCCTCACTCCCACCACCACTCCCACCATCACTACCACCACCACGATCTCCTGTCGAACGATCGTTTTCATCGTTTTCATGATAGGGTTTGGGAACTTGATGAGTAAAAAAAAAAAAAAGAAACAATCATCAACTTGAAAAAGTTGGAACTTGGACACTTTTTCCGACTTTTTCAAAATTTTGTCTGAAATTTGTCGGATTTCAATTTGTCGATAATTTTCTGCCGCGTACGATAATTTTGCGCTCCTGTGTCGACCAAACGAACTAAAGTCTCTGGGATCACTGGCTGGGATCACTGTTAGTATGTATCAAAAAACGGCTGTGGTCAGTTTAAGTTTAAAATACTTATAGTTTTTATTGTGATATTTATATTTAATTGTTTTGTTGATAACAAAGTGCATATATAAAGTAAAAATGGAAACTGTAAAATTATCGAGAGCACTTAGTAGTTTTCTATAAGTGTAAGTTTAATTTACTCATTTAATAATTACAAGTATAAATGTACAAACCTAACCTATAACTTATCATTTATTTACAGACTTATTGTTTGTGATGAATAATCATGGTTCGACAGTGTATTCTTAATTACTGCAAAAGTTCAATAAAAACTACGCAAGACCGTCAAGACCAAAATTTTAAGCCAACAAATTGCAGTTCGAGTAAAACTATGACCATTTACCACATGAAGAAATAAAAATATGTTAATATAAATCTGTTTTTTTAATTTTTTTTTATATTTGTCTTATTATTATTATTATTATTATTATTATTATTATTATTATTATTATTATTATTATTATTATTATTATTATTATTATTATNATTATTATTATTATTATTATTATTATTATTATTATTATTATTATTATTATTATTATTATTATTATTATTATTATTATTATTATTATTATTATTAGTAATATTATTATTATTATTATTATTATTATTATTATTATTATTATTATTATTATTATTATTATTATTATATCTCACTTGGAACTCAAGAGTTTATAGCCTCATCAACAGTTTTAATCATACTGATTATTACAAAATTATATTGAATTAGTAAAATATTTTAAAACTAACGAAAATACTAACTATCTAAAACAATAATAACCAAATATTAAAATACTAAGTATAAAATACTAAAATATTAATTATTTAAATATTATACAATTTTTTTATTTTTCTAGGAATATATTTCCAGAAAGTAGCTTTTATTACAATTATCGAAAATTGGGAATTGATGTTGATGCCATTTTATGAAGACATAATACTAAGGAATCCTAGCTGATTTATTAATATTGGAAATTAAAAACAAATTGTATGAATGATTAAAATAATTGTAAATATAATATATATAGTAGATAATTTTATTTATCAAGATTGTATAAATTCCTACAAGTTGTTTTGAAATTTCAAAATACTGTAATGCCTTTTATCAAATCAAACTTAATTGAATCTTTCTTTTTGAATTTATAATAATTTTTTTGTGTAACCTATTCTATTTTAATATAAATTTTTAATTATCATTAAATATCGTTCATTTTTTTTTCTGTATTTGATGCAAATCATTATTTCATAATGTTTTCAAACCAATTCACCACTCTACCCCCTAGACTATTCACTATTACTATATACAACTTTTATACTATTTAAAATGTATGATTCATTCGCGCGCAGTCACGTGACTACATGAGTTCCGGTCCCCCAAAATTCTTTGGCGCGTCCCTCCTACAGGGTCCCTAAAACGAATTACCTTATACCGCCATCTGTTAGAATCTTATCGAACTAACAGAGATAATCATGACTCTTTGTTAATAAATAAATAATTCGCAATAAAATAATATTGCGATTATGAATTGAGATATAAACTATCCTATCTTTCAAGTCGATAAAACTGCACACAGTATGCAAATTTTTATTAAAATCGGCTCAGTAGTTTAGGAGTCCATTGCGGACAAACAACGTGACACGTAATTTATATATATATTAAGATAAGGAGTAATGTTCAAAGTAATCTCTATTTTTTAAATAGAAACTTTAAATACTAATTTTTTATAATAAAATATTTATGACAATTAGTAAATAATTATTTTCAATATCATAAATAGGTAGAAAAACAATTATCAATACGAGTGGTCTTTGTTAGAAGTCTTCACGATTATTTGTTACGAAGGAATATTCCCATTATAATATAATGTATTTATTTCCTACTAATATAATGTATTTATTGTCTACATAAATTTTTAGAATTTACGTAAATACTATTTTACTATTACTACGTTTGCTACGTTACTACGATTAGCTGATACTGCATGAATGAAAAATTATAAATGTGATATTTACAGTCCGATTTCTCGAGAACGAAAAATCATAGAGACTTGAAAAAAGTATCATTTTAAAGAGAAACACAATATTTTTCTATGTTATTAAAAACTACTGATATAATAAAATCTATTTATTGATATTTTATAATTACGTATCTTATTGTTAGTTAGTATTTTTGTAAAGAATTTTGAAGAATAATTTTCAATGAAAACAAATTATTTTAAATGGCAAAATATTCCATTTTCTATTATTATTAAGATTATTATTATAATTAAAAATCAGAAATAATTAAAAAACAAATAAAAAATTTTATTTTTGAATACTGCTATACGATTTTTAGCAAAACATTCGATTTTTAAATAACGTTAATTTCGATTTAGATTATTTCCTAAAAATATTGAACAATAAATTGATATATTTTGTTTTTTTCATATGAAGTATTTACGTTCGTTAAATAGGACCACAAGTCAAGTCAGAAGTATTCTCGTGAGATAAAACGTTCAATTAATTTACTATAGAATTTCTGTCTGTATTCGCGATCTCGTAGAACATTATACAGGTAACATCGAGAGAAGATGATTTGGACTATCCTTTCGCAAATCCAATTACAATTGTGACGTATAAACGTATCCAGACAAACGCTTATACGCAATATACAAGTATACATGCATACATATATTTACAGCAAAGTAACGGAACCTTCTAAAGGAAATTACATTCTCCACTGAACATATGAACGTTCTTCCTCGTCTCCACTTTATGCATAATTTTATCTTCTTTCGCATCTCTCGATAAAACGGGTAAGTATACACACACACACATACAACCACACGTATATATATATATATATATATATATATATAGATAGACATTTTTCGCCAGTTTCATCGATCGTTTTTATCCTAGCTTCTTCTTTCGTTCGGAAATACGAGCTTTACTTTATCTGACATTTTTCGAGTAAGAAAATCGATATTGATACTCGATAAATTTTGAGATATTTCTAAGCTTTTTCTATTTTCTTCAACACTCGTTCTTTTTATCCCTCTTTTTTCTTTAGTAAGATTTTCTATAAAGAAAGATCAGCTCGTTTAGATATCCATTCGAACTTTGAATCAAAATCTTGAAGAAAAAAAAAAAAGAAAAAGAAAGAGAAAAAAAATCTCAGACATACCTTGTGTTTTTAAGCAATGACGAATCGAGGACAACCACGAACTGAAAGTGTTAAAAGGACCTTTTATAAACGCAACTTTTTAATTAGGACGGTGCTCTCGTATTTTCCTCTATTTTCACTTCCTGTACTTTAGTGGTTTTGTTCGTGTAATGTACGTACGTATATATATATATATATATA